TGTGTTGGATACAGCCAGACAGCCCTTCCTACAAGCAGTGCTACAGTCCCAGGACATACACACCTGTATCAGCTTTACACCTCTCCATTCTAGTGTCTACCTAACTCATAAAACTTGTATCACTTGAAGACTTTGTTACATATTGGTACTCAAGTAATGATATGCTATAATAACATCTTACAGCGAACCAGGGAGTAATCAGACAGACAGACAGAAGACAGATACACTCTCTCGCTCTCACACACACACACAAGCGCGCGACGCACGCATGCACGCACGCACACACACACACATACACTGACTGACTGACTGACTGAGTCTGGTTTTACGCCGCTTTTAGCAATATTCCAGCAACATCATGGCGGGACACACCAGAAATGGGCTTCACACATTGTACCCATGTGGGGATTCGAACCCGGGTCTTCGGCATGACGAGCCAACGCTTTAACCATTAGGCTACCCCACCGCACCACACATACACACACACAGAGGTTAATAGATGGGTACCCCAGCTTAGGGAGATAAAGTCTACCTAGGTAACTGACAATATTATAAGATTTACTGCCTCAGTTGTGCACGTTGCCCAACATCTGCTAGTTGATATACTGGTATATATATAGCTCAACTAAACAAAGTTTGTTCTGATATTCTTGCAGTAAAGAGTTTGAAAGTAATCTACTATATCAGGAGTGAGTTGGAGCTGCCACACAGTTTAAAGTGGGTGGAAAGTCCACTGTGAAGCAGTGCTAGATGATCACCACTTTCTAAAATAGTTGAGCATGGGTATGACAGTGAAACTGTACAATACAGAATTGATTACACAGAGCCGTTCAAAAGTCGACTTCTTTAAGTTTTTCAACATATACCACCACCCCAACCCCCACCACCATCCCATATTGAATTCCATTCCTGAGTTTAGTGGCCTCTTTTGTCATGCATTCTCATGTTACACAGTGGTTTTCAGAATATTTATCAAGTGAAGTTAATATTCTAGGTGTTGTCAATCACTAGTAAGTTTTTTATAGATCAAATCTGCCATTACTTATCAAGCACCTCACTAGAAGCACTTACATCCAGTGACATCAATGACAAAACATAATCTTATGTAAAGATTGGAAGTATTTAATAACAACTCCTAACAGCATGTAAACAAATAACATTGAAGGTTTGTCTTAGATTAGATACTATATGAAATGTTGAGAAATCATGTTAGCTGACTTAAGTGGATGAATACCGTACAGGGCCATTAACCTCCCCCTCCCTGACTCCTAAACTTAAATGTCACATGCAACCAAAAAATCAAACATAATTAAAACACAATTATCACTTCTTCATGACATATAATATGCATTGCTGATTATGAAAAAACAAACAAACAAAATTATAAGCGTATAATCGCAAATCAAAAGTGCAATATTTTGTACTTGGGTTTACCTCCCTCGAAACGAAGCAGCCGGGATACCGAACCCAGTCAGAGCGGGTGGGTGTGCACTCAAGTGTAACGGCTGGTTCATTAGCAGATGCCGTCTTCACGGCTCATTGTGTGTGTATATATAGAGATGTTGGGTTTTGTAAATACATGCTCATTTTTGTGTATAACATTTTGCAATCAACAGACATCATAACATGTCATGTGTTCAAGTATCACACCTGCGCGTGTCTGTGTAATTACATAATGTGACAGAGACCTAACTCGGGCCATAAATCAATGCATTTTGTTTATGGTGTATAGCCTGATTGGTGTTAAGTTCAAATTGCATGTGGTCAGTGATCGCGAGTTGTGTATTGAATATTGTCATTAGCAGACAGGCAGGCAGACACACAGGTGTCAATAAAACAAGACATTGAGTTTTGTCTGTGACAGCTTACATATCTATATCACAGTTAGAAATTGTGTCAACGCTAAATAATGACATTGCTTTTAAGTATCGAACTGAGAAAGTGACTCGGTAAGAAGAACGTGTGGTAAAATAGACAAATGAAATTATATAAACAGTTTATTTACTGTCATAACATATAAAAGCTCGCGACCTGTGAGATATCAACAAAACATTCTGAAAATAGCTCACACCAAAGCCTTCACCGAGTATTCACCAGACAGCCCGCTTCCAAGTTTCACTGCGCAGATGCTATGAGCGCAGCCCAGCTGTTGAAACCCGTATTCCCCAGAAAAGTCTGGGGAAAATTAGTGAAACGTTTGAACTCCGATTTTGCGCGTTTTTTCATCGCGTTATTTTTCAACTTTATAAGTTGAATTTGCATTTTTGACGCTTTGTTTCGGTAAGTCCATACCGAAAGGTATCAGAATCTGCAAAGTTGTGTTTTACGTTGCATGTGACCTTTAAGGAATAATCGTTTTATCCATCATCAAACTTTTGGACTGGTCTCTTGCTGAATTGACAAAAGTTTTCATTTGCATAAATATGACCTAACACTGCCAAAATGACACACCTGTTCTCATAATGCATGGAAGATGCTAGTGAAATGAATCATAAGATGCATAATCTCACCTGTCTAATGAACATCAACAGATGGGAGTCACGGAAAAGCTGACGTCTTCGGGACATTGTGTATCCTCATGTCAGTCATTCATAAATAACATTTTCCCCTTGTCCATTGTGCATCCTACTGGGGTGCACCAGGCATAACGCAAGGACATCACAAAAGACTTGCTTGTAATACAGGTTCACAGTCTCACTGATTCCCCACACAACAGATACATATCCAGCATTTTCTGTGTTGTGCTATGTGGATAGATCTCATCACAACTGACTGCTCATGTGATCCATCAAGAACCACAGACATGAAAATGGGACTGTCATCAATCTAGACCACCTACTTCCTTATGGTGGGATACTCAAACCTGACACATTCTTTGGTCCACAAATATACATATCAAACAACAGTGTTTTACAATATTCACCACCTTTTTATAGATTACTCCAAATATCACATACTAAAGGTATTACCTGGACCACCATTGCCACTCTCTATAGCTGCCCTTACACCTTGTATTGGTCTCTTCTGTCATATGTCAAATACCCACCCTTCACTTCAGTGCCATGTCCATCCATGGCTGTTTCCCACACTCTATAGCTGTCGCTACACCTTGTATTGGTCTCTTCTGTCATATGTCAAATACCCACCCTTCACTTCAGTGCCATGTCCATCCATGGCTGTTTCCCACACTCTATAGCTGTCGCTACACCTTGTATTGGTCTCTTCTGTCATATGTCAAATACCCACCCTTCACTTCAGTGCCATGTACATCCATGGCTGTTTCCCACACTCTATAGCTGTCGCTACACCTTGTATTGGTCTCTTCTGTCATATGTCAATACCCACCCTTCACATCAGTGCCATGTACATCCATGGCTGTTTCCCAACTCTATAGCTGTCGCTACACCTTGTATTGGTCTCTTCTGTCATATGTCAATACCCACCCTTCACTTCAGTGCCATGTACATCCATGGCTGTTTCCCAACTCTATAGCTGTCGCTACACCTTGTATTGATCCCCTCAATGCCCATCATTTAACCAGACATTCATGATTGCAACACATAACAATTGTCGCAAATACAGGTACATGCATTACACATTGGGAAAAGTTTATGCAGATGAAAGTTACTTGTCATTCTTAATCTAGAAACTCTTATTGTATACTGAAAGTTATTCTCACAAATACTCCAACTGTAAACAGTAAGTTTTGCAACTAACATAGAATTCCGTCATGGCATAATTCTAAATCAAAATACTTTCAAAATGACATATGAAAACACCACTTCAGTCCCCATTCCTCACCTACCTTATTGGTAAGGGAAGCAATGATGGCCGGTATCCTCAACATCATGAAGAGTTACGCATCCCTCCTCTGCAGAGCACACCTGGGACTTCCTGTATTATTTTAGTTTTTATCCAAACCGAAACAATCAGAGCGGCAGCTAGCTACACACTGTGCTCTGCTCTTGGGCCTATCAACTTTATCTATCTTAAACTTTGTTGCTGGCTTGTATATATATATATATTCGGTGATTTTATGGGTCATCTCAAAGTCGAGATAGGTAGTTATTTTTAACAGGTGAAGTTCATCAACCTCAGATGGTCAAAGCTTGTGGAATTCTTTATGCAGCTCTTCCTGTTTGAAGAAGGAAGATTAAATACAGAACCATTATCCAATAATGTTGTCAGTGAATAACAGCTTTTTCACTTTACTGTAATAGGTGCTGAAGTAAAATTAAAAAGTTGTGATCCATAATTTGACTGACTTAGTCATCCATCAACTTTAAAGAAATGCCCATCAAACACTTGGATTCAGTCTGACTCTGATTTCGACATTACACAACAAGACAGACACCATTCAGGCCTATACAGCTCCCACAAGGCCAAAACTGGGGTAGTAAATAAACTTGGGGTATTATGTGGTATCTTAACATGGGTAGCACCTCAAAATATGTAAAAAGAAAGGGAAAAGATTGACCTTCATCTGTGTAAGATACACAAAAGGAGAGAGACAAGATTCTTGGCTTATCATGCAAACTGAAAACATGTCCTATGGTGCTCCCTGCCTAGACATGCACACAGCAGGGTAGGTGGGTCCCTGCCTAGACATGCACACAGCAGGGTAGGTGGGTCCCTGCCTGGACATGAACACAGCAGGGTAGGTGGGTCCCTGCCTAGACATGCACAAAGCAAGGTAGGTGGGTCACTGCCTAGACATGCACACAGCAGGGTAATTGGGCCCTTCATTATACATTACACAGCAGGGTAACTGGGCCCTTCATTATACATTACACAGCAGGGTAGGTGGGTCACTGCCTAGACATGCACACAGCAGGGTAACTGGGCCCTTCATTATACATTACACAGCAGGGTAGGTGGGTCACTGCCTAGACATGCACATAGCAGGGTAGGTGGGTCCCTGCCTAGACATGCACACAGCAGGGTAGGTGGGTCCCTGCCTGGACATGAACACAGCAGGGTAGGTGGGTCACTGCCTAGACATGCACGAAGCAAGGTAGGTGGGTCACTGCCTAGACATGCACACAGCAGGGTAGGTGGGTCCCTGCCTAGACATGCACACAGCAGGGTAGGTGGGTTCCTGCCTAGACATGCACACAGCAGGGTAACTGGGCCCTTCATTATACATTACACAGCAGGGTAGGTAGGTCACTGCCTGGACATGCACACAGCAGGGTAGGTGGGCCACTGCACCTTGATATGTAGACAGCAGGGTAGGTGGGCCACTGCCCGGATATGTAGACAGCAAGGTAGGTGGGTCACTGCCTGGATATGTACACAGCAGGGGTACTGGGACCCTTCATTATACATTACACAGCAGGGTAGGTGGGCCACTGCCTGGACATGTTTATAGCAGGGTAGGTGGGTCACTGCCTAGACATGCACACAGCAGGGTAACTGGGCCCTTCATTATACATTACACAGCAGGGTAACTGGGCCCTTCATTATACATTACACAGCAGGGTAGGTGGGTCACTGCCTAGACATGCACACAGCAGGGTAACTGGGCCCCTTCATTATACATTACACAGCAGGGTAAGTGGGTCACTGCCTGGACATGCACACAGCAGGGTAGGTGGGCCACTGCACGGATATGTAGACAGCAGGGTAGGTGGGCCACTGCCCGGATATGTAGACAGCAAGGTAGGTGGGTCACTGCCTGGATATGTACACAGCAGGGTAACTGGACCCTTCATTATACATTACACAGCAGGGTAGGTGGGCCACTGCCTGGACATGTTTATAGCAGGGTAGGTGGGTCACTGCCTAGACATGCACACAGCAGGGTAACTGGGCCCTTCATTATACATTACACAGCAGGGTAACTGGGCCCTTCATTATACATTACACAGCAGGGTAGGTGGGTCACTGCCTAGACATGCACACAGCAGGGTAACTGGGCCCTTCATTATACATTACACAGCAGGGTAGGTGGGTCACTGCCCAGATATGTAGACAGCAGGGTAGGTGGGACACTGCCTGGATATGAACACAGCAGGGTAACTGGGCCCTTCATTATACATTACACAGCAGGGTAAGGTCACTGCCTGGACATGCACACAGCAGGGTAGGTGGGCCACTGCACGGATATGTAGACAGCAGGGTAGGTGGGCCACTGCCCGGATATGTAGACAGCAAGGTAGGTGGGTCACTGCCTGGATATGTACACAGCAGGGTAACTGGACCCTTCATTATACATTACACAGCAGGGTAGGTGGGCCACTGCCTGGACATGTTTATAGCAGGGTAGGTGGGTCCCTGCCTGGACATGCACACAGCAGGGTAATTGGTCCCTTCATTATACATTACACAGCAGGGTAACTGGGCCCTTCATTATACATTACACAGCAGGGTAGGTGGGTCACTGCCTGGACATGCACACAGCAGGGTAACTGGGCCCCTTCATTATACATTACACAGCAGGGTAGGTGGGTCACTGCCCAGATATGTAGACAGCAGGGTAGGTGGGACACTGCCTGGATATGAACACAGCAGGGGTAACTGGGCCCCTTCATTATACATTACACAGCAGGGTAAGGTCACTGCCTGGACATGCACACAGCAGGGTAGGTGGGCCACTGCACGGATATGTAGACAGCAGGGTAGGTGGGCCACTGCCCGGATATGTAGACAGCAAGGTAGGTGGGTCACTGCCTGGATATGTACACAGCAGGGTAACTGGACCCTTCATTATACATTACACAGCAGGGTAGGTGGGCCACTGCCTAGACATGTTTATAGCAGGGTAGGTGGGTCACTGCCTTGATATGTTCACAGCAGGGTGGGTGGGTCACTGCCTAGATATGTTCACAGCAGGGTAGGTGGGTCACTGCCTGGATATGTTCACAGCAGGGTGGGTGGGCCACTGACTGGACAAGTTCACAGCAGGGTGGGTGGGTCACTGCCTGGATATGTACACAGCAGGGTGGGTGGGCCACTGACTGGACAAGTTCACAGCAGGGTAGGTGGGCCACTGACTGGACATGTACACAGCAGGGTGGGTGGGTCACTGCCTGGATATGTTCACAACAGTGTAGGTGGGTCACTGCCTGGTTATGTTCACAGCAGGGTAGGTGGGACACTGCCTGGTTATGTTCACAGCAGGGTAGGTGGGCCACTGCCTGGATATGTACACAGCAGGGTGGTGGGCCACTGACTGGGCATGTTCACAGCAGGGTGGGTGGGCCACTGACTGGACATGTACACAGCAGGGTGGGTGGGTCATTGCCTGGATATGTTCACAACAGGGTGGGTGGGTCACTGCCTGGATATGTTCACAGCAGGGTAGGTGGCTCACTGCCTGGATATGTACACAGCAGGGTGGGTGGGTGGGCCACTCACTGGACATGTTCACAGCAGGGTGGGTGGGCCACTGACTTGACATGTACACAGCAGGGTGGGTGGGTCACTGCCTGGATATGTTCACAGCAGGGTAGGTGGGTCACTGCCTGGATATGTTCACAGCAGGGTAGGTGGGTCACTGCCTGGATATGTTCACAGCAGGGTAGGTGGGTCACTGCCTGGATATGTTCACAGCAGGGTAGGTGGGTCACTGCCTGGATATGTTCACAGCAGGGTGGGTGGGCCACTGCCTGGACATGTTCACAGCAGGGTGGGTGGGCCACTGCCTGGACATGTTCACAGCAGGGTGGGTGGGTCACTGCCTGGATATGTTCACAGCAGGGTGGGTGGGCCACTGCCTGGACATGTTCACAGCAGGGTGGGTGGGTCACTGCCTGGATATGTTCACAGCAGGGTGGGTGGGCCACTGCCTGGACATGTTCACAGCAGGGTAGGTGGGTCACTGCCTGGATATGTTCACAGCAGGGTAGGTGGGTCACTGCCTGGATATGTTCACAGTAGGGTAGGTGGGCCACTGCCTGGATATGTTCACAGCAGGGTATTGGGCCTTTCTTATAGGTACGGAGGGACTGACAAGTAAGAGGACAAGAGACATGTATACAGTCTAGTTACTGTAAGACCTTTAGCGAGAACACCAGAGACAGGTAACCTTTTACATCTGACATCACACATGTATGTAACACCTACACTTCATCCATCTCCCGGCCTACATCTGCATCACTGCTGGGGCTGGGTGGGGTCTGTGTACATTTTACTTTTTCTTCTGGCTTGAGAAATGAGATAGATTTCTGAAGTCAACACAGAAGTGTAGAGAACTCTGCAGCATATGTCCTCAGGCCACGTAATGTCAGGTTTATTCATTCACACAGAGGACAAAGTTTTTAGTGTGGGATTATGTAACACCTGTTGACCATTCCAGTCTAGTTCCAGGCCTGGCAACTAGTACCCTGAGTGGAAGTGAGATACTGTATTGGTAATTAGGGCACAGGTATTTATCAACTGAAGGATAGATATACATGTATATCCAAGCGTGTGATGACTGTTGGTTTGTTTACGTCAGTGATAATGAAGATACTGAAGAAGAGACAATAGTTTAAGTATAATATTTGCAGTTGGTATTAAGAATACAATAAATACAACTGCTCATCACAGAACACACATTAAATCCTATTGCTGAAGTATCTGTCTATGACTGTAAACAATATATAGTAAAGCATCACTTGTAGCCATCAGCGTAAAATGCATATAATACAGATGAAATTAGATATGTGAAATGTGTTCCAAGTAAATATCGAGAGCAGCATGGGTACACTGATAACATACAGATAGCACCATAATCATCTCTAGCTCTCCACTGCTCCGCTCAGTGCCAACCTACTGCAAGTGTAGCCCCTCGGCCCCTTACACTCCAACCGCTCCGCTCAGTGTCAACCTGCTGCAAGTGTAGCCCCTCGGCCCCTAACACTCACACCGCTCCGCTCAGTGCCAACCTACTGCAAGTGTAGCCCCTCGGCCCCTTACACTCCAACCGCTCCGCTCAGTGCCAACCTGCTGCAAGTGTAGCCCCTCGGCCCCTAACACTCACACCGCTCCGCTCAGTGCCAACCTGCTGCAAGTGTAGCCCCTCGCCCCTAACACTCCACACCGCTCGGCTCAGTGCCAACCTACTGCAGAGTGTAGCCCTCGCCCCTTACACTCCAACCGCTCCGCTCAGTGCCAACCGGCTGCAAGTGTAGCCCCTCGGCCCCCTCCACACTCACACGCTCCGCTCAGTGCCAACCTACTGCAAGTGTAGCCCCTCGGCCCCTTACACTCCCACCGCTCCGCTCAGTGGCATCCTACTGCAAGTGTAGCCCTCGGCCCTTACGCTCCCACCACTCCAAGTGTCCCCCTGGCATCCCCACTGCACGGTTGCCCCTTTTGGCCCTTAACTCACTCCACTCAGAGGCAGCCTACTGCATGTGTAGCCTCTGGCTCCTTAAACTCTCCCGCCCACTCAGTGCCAACCTACTGCAAGTGTAGCCCCTGGCCCTTGTAGTCAAAGATCAAATACCATGCATATTTGGTTAATGAATATATTTCTCATATGCTGTAAGTCACCAAGGGATCTTTATAGTTTAATTTTTAGTCTTAAATTTACATTAAAGAGTCATTTTAGGGTCCAAAAGTTACAATGATGAATAAAACCCCATTTCTTCACAAGGCATATATTTTGTATAGAACTAGTACAATATGAAAAAGGAATATACTTTTACCCTGTTTATCAACTATAGAAGAGGTCTTTACATGAAACTGCGTGATCCAGAAATATACTCTTCCAAAAAGCAACGGCAAGCCATTTTTGAGAAGAATTTCTTGCGATAGGTTTAAGAGCTATTATTTCATGTAATCCCAATGGTAAAAGGTGAAAATTCAAACGTCTATAGACAAAAAAGCCTTTACTGTTGTGTTTCTCTTTGCTTGAATCCACAAGATGGCGTCAAAGTCAGTTCTTTGTATGGACACCATTGGCAGCAATTACTGCTTTCGGCACCGTCTCGGCACACACTGGATAAGTTGGATCTAAGTAGCTCTTATCATTGTAGGCTTAATTTAAATTTACATTTTGACAACAAGGATAACCATGACACTAAACAAATAATTAATCTCAATGACTGAGGCAAGTGTCTGAGGCAAGCCACAGAGGTGGACACACCTGGACTGGATAGTTACCCGTGCTTCAGATGCGTGTCAGTTGGTGTTACCTATATAGGATCTACAGCTCTCTGACCATTTCTCTATATCTTTGTGAGCTTGGACCTCTCAATACCCAGTCCAAATGTGAAGATTACTCACTGTAGGAACATCGCTACCCCTGGATATGAATACTGTTAATGACAATTTGCTAAACTCATACCTTATACTTGAGCCACCATCTGATGCTGAGAGTCTCGTTCTGCTATACAATAGAGTTCTATCTGAGCTGCTATATAGACAAACTTGCACCAGTGAAGGACATAGTCATACCAGTCACTAAAACATCTGCTTGGGACTTCACACTGAAGTTCGACAATGAAAAAAGACAAGAGCAAAGCAGAACGCAGATGAAATACAATCTTTCCTGGAGATTCATGCATGAAATGTATATTTCAGCCAAAATCACTCAACAGCGGTCATCAGACAAAATCAACATCTCAATTCTAAGATTGAAGCCAACGAGTCATGTCCAAAGTTGCTGTTCAAACTTTTGCTCAGTATATTGAGTAAACACTTTGAATCGACACTTCCGACATCTGATGACAATGAAGTAATAGCACAGACATTTTCGGATTATTTCTCTGAAAAGATCCAAGAACATTCATAACAAGATTTAGGTCTTCTGCTGTGGATGAAGCTGATATTCCTCCAAAATGTTTGATGGCACGATCTAACTCATATTGATAGTTTCACTGATATTTACCAACATTAGTGCTGATTATTAACTCTTCTTAGCCAAAAGGGCTCAAAATACTACTATAATGTTTTATTAGACGAGTTCTACTTCATCTGGTTTTGTCCCAAGTGTACTCAAGTCAGCTCTAGTTAGGCCACATCTGCAGAAATCAAGCCTTGATTAGGAGGATAAAAAAAACAGGCCTGTTTCAAACTTAGCATTTACATCCAAACTCATTGAACGTGCAGTCTCCAGTCGTCTCATGGGCCACCTTTCCTGGCATAACCTCTATGAGGTGTTCCTATCAGCCTGCAGAGCACACCACAGCACAGAGACGGCTCTGCTGAATACCACAGGACAAGTGACCCTGCACACATACTTGGCCTAAGCAGTGCCTGACACTCCATTAATCACCAGAGACTCCTCAAAAGACTTGATACAGAACTTGGATTCAGCTTTATCCTGGCTGGCATCTTATCTACAGGACAGGACTCTAACGTTGTTGTTGGTGAGTCTGTGTCAACCAGCATCTAGGTTTGAGTCGCGGAGTCTCTCAAGATCCGTGCTTGGTCCGATCCTCTTCAATTCCTACACACTGTTCCACTTGACTCTGTTGTAGCAATCCTTAATCTTGACCACTTCTCATGGCGATGACACGCAGCTGTGAAGTTATTTCAACCAAACACAGAGAGTCAGCTATGGGCGTCGCTCTCTGTCAGACATCAGACTGTTGCCACAATATATTTATGGATGTCATCAAATGCCTTGAAATTAAATTAAGAGAAAGAGTCCATTCTTCTGGGACAGGCTGGAAAGGCGTAAGCAGTGTGATATTACTAGTGTGTGTGTCTGTAGAGCAACCATTCCTCTTTTTCTTCCACTGTCAAGGATCTGGGTGTTGTCATCAATCAAGATCTAAGTATGACAGAACATGTCTAGTATGTTACTAAAACTTGCTACTTCCATCTCCACAATATCAGCAAGGCCAGACCGTTCTTACCAAAGATGCCTCCAAAACTCTCCGCCTCAGCCTAGTCACATCTCGTATAGACTACTGTAACAACCTTTTGGCGGATCTCCATCTTGTGTCATGCTGACCAACTCCAATGCATACAGAATTTAGCTGCTGCATAATACCTTCCAGATCACCAGAAAAAAGCACATCACACCAACTCTAAAGGGACCTTCATTGGCTGCCATGAAACACAGAATCTCCTTCAAACTATTCTGTCTGCATACCAGTGCATGACTAACATGGCTCCAGTCTAACTTTCAGGTCTTCTTCAGGCTTATGCACCATCTAGATCTCTCAGATCAGGGGAATCAACACCTTCTTGTTATCCCCAAAGTCAATCAAGCTAAATATGGACACCGTGTCTTCTCTATTCTGCTGATAAAAATATTCTCCCTACATTTTATTTGTATATCTTTTTTTCAAAGATTATAACCATTTTAGAAAGTTATTAAGCTCTGAAAATTATTTCAAGGGATTTAATTGAGAGAGTGTGAAGCAGAAAATAGTGTTTTCTCCACATCATTTCATTATATTCTTATCTATTTTCAAAGAACTCTGCTTTTAGAAGAAAAACTTCAAGCGTAATAATAAGAAATTGATAAATCATAATCTGATATTGACATACTACATTTTGAAATAAGGACTGCTCCCTTACTGACAGCCTCACCAAACAAACATAAACGTCTCTTTTTTGTTTCATACATAGCTGTTCTTTAATAACTTGATTTACATTGAGTTGATGAAATGAAGCAATTATATACTTACAAAATGCACAAAACCTACATCTGCTTAAAATCGTCTGCTACCTGCCATTTTGAGAGAGGGAGTGTTCATTATATTTATTTTTTTAATTTAAAAAAATATATTTTATGGTTTTCTTGTAATAAAATATTTCATGAAATAGAGAAACACACTTGGATAAAGTTAATAACCTCAAACTTTAAATGTTCAACTTTCCCATTATGACCTTCTGACCTATTAGCAACCTTTTCCACAACCACTTTGTACAGTGCTCAAAAGTACTATTTGCACCATATTTTAACTTGGAACCAAGCTTTTTATTTAACTAACATGTCTGATGAATACAAAAAACACAATGTCTTGCTTTCATCACAAAACTTCGATGGGACTTTAATGCTGTACCCATCCTACCAGACTATTGGCCCCTTTGCCCACTCCAGCCTACTGCACTCACTGCACCTTCAATGTTCTTCCCATTTCAAGGAACATTATTTATCTTGTCCCTTTAGATTCAGCAGTAACCAGCAACGCACCATCTAAAATGCATTACCAATCACCTGTTATCAGACTCACAGGACCACATCTAATACCAATTCAGATACCCTCCTTCCTACAGGAAGTCTGTAATATGAGATCAGTCACAGAGCATCTCAGGTGGTACTGATTCTAAAGATACTTCAAAAATACTATCACAAGACATCTTACTGAAGTTTAAGTGGTTGTACATATAAAGATACCACATCTAAAACAAAGTAAGAACACAAATTTCAAACCAAAAAGTCAAGAAAGTATGAAACCAAAAAGCCAAGCAGAGTGCCACAATGATATGAGCTTCAAGTATTAGACGTACCAACATGCCCCAAAATACCATTTTTCTACTTTTGATAGTTTATAAGACAAACATTTAGCTCCATCTCCAGTTGACAGGGGGTATCATATAACCTCTTAAGGAATTTATTTAGATAAGTTTCCAGCCCTTTATTTACTTTACTGCCAAGTGTTTTTACATAAGCAGACCGTGCAATTACATAAAATTGCTTATTTAATTACCAATGTGTTAACATCTTCTTTCTGGTATTATGTGCACACCATAATGTCTGTGCATTGGGAAAAAGCATTAACATTTATCCCACGTTTATTATGTTCACATCACTCTACACAGCTTTGTTTTTTAAAGCAAAATAAACACTATACTCAAGAAAATAGAAATGTGTGAAGCTGCTGCAGCAAACACTAATAGGTTGAAAACGGATGTATTTTTGAACAGTAGGTGTCACACATGTTTGGGATGATCAGTTTATGTCACAGGTTGTTTGTCTTTGCATCCAGGAAAGTTGTGCAATTTGTCCATCTGGCAGCCACATCCACTGCCCCGAAACATGGGACACACTCATATCATCATGGCACTGCCCCGAAACATGGGACACACTCATATCATGGCACTGCCCCGAAACATGGGACACACTCATATCATGGCACTGCCCCGAAACATGGGACACATTCATATCATCATGGGACTGCCCGAAAACATGGGACTCACTCATATCATCATGGCACTGCCCAAAAAC